CGTGTCCTGAAGAGCCACCTGGTGCGAAGGACAATCCGGAGTCAGAGTGTCCTACTGGGTGATAGTTGTAGCCCAATTTATCGGCAAAAGCCACAGTAGCCAAGCACAACACCTAGAAAATAAATAATATCTGATTACTCAAACTGTCAAAATGAAGACTGTGGCACACAAAATTGAATTTAATTTAGCACTTCGACAACTTACAAAGAATGCACGCATCTTGAAGTTCTTTTGCTTTGAAGAATGTTTTGTTTCTGATTTAACTAAATTTCAAACGCGCTTATATACTAAATTGGTGAGATTATAGTTAAACTATTAATTATTGTTATTATTTTTTAACCTTTGCTCAAATAAAATAGGCTCAGAGTAGTTTCTATCCCACAACTTCAACAGATGCAGAACCGTGCAAATGAGAGCGCACAAGAGAGAGCTAATCGCAAAGTATATGCTTGAGTTTGTCTCAACGCTGTGAGTGGACCATCACAGCAGTAAAGTCTTGCGTCTTATCAAAGTTATGACACCGTCTATGCAAATCCAAATCTGACCCGCTAGTAAAAAAAAAGAACTCGTCATTCTCTGAACAATCAACCCTTTACAACATTTTTATTGTTGCAGATTAAAGACTTAATTAAATTAGTCATTATCTAGTCACAATCATCGTCTTGTCAAAGTCGGCGCCGGTCAAGTCGTCGCCACAGGCGGCTAATCCGACATGGAAGATTTTGAGTAGCAGATAAAATGTCAAGTCTCTTGGTGTCACAGACAGGTAAAGCGCCACGAAGATATACAAAACTGATTTCAAAAAATAAACAACAAAAACCAAAAAACAGTTGCGATTGGGGCATCCAGTTGCAGTCGACAGATGGTGTTATCAGATTATAACATACAATAGTACATATATAGGTGGTGTTTATTTAAGGAAATTCCAAGTAACCCGCTGCGTCATGTTAATATGCAGTAGCTAAAGTCTTATAAAAAAGAGAAACAAGTGCTTAAAATTCAAAAGAAATTCATATTTTGGCATACTTAGCGAAGATAAAAGCAACTCGTGTAAAATCCTTGAACACGACATACATAGTTGCTTAAGATGCGGCAGAATATCAAAGTTTAAACAAACACTCCTCTTTTGGTGAATTGGTAAAGTACAATCGTGAAGAAGATTAAGTTAATTTTCATGTTTCGAGTTGGAATTTAAAAATCTTGAGGTTTATTTATTTACGGGTATAATAAGAGAAGCTCCAATAGGAGCTCCTTTGTGAAGCCAAAAGTTAAACATCCAATAATTGAGCGCCTTAAACCCTTTAAAAATCTGTTTTAGATGGATATTTGATCACCATATTAAAATGCAACAGCAGCCTTACAATTAATTTAGGAATACTTAAACTTGATGAGGACGAAAAATATACCAAAAGTTCCGTCTGGATAGGGAGCTTCGAGCCGTTTGATACCAAACGAGGTTGCAGACAATGCGACTCCCTATCGTGCGACTTCTTCAATCTACTGCTGGAGAAAATTATTCGAGCTGCACAGGTGTATAGGGAAGGTACAACCTTCTACAACACTGTACACAAAGAAGCGACTGTACACAAAGAAGCGAAGAAATGAACATCCCATTTTAATTTTGCCATGAGTTCTGTAATAGTCAGGAGAAAACGTCGGAGACCCTATGAAGTATAACGCAAATATAGGGTCATCCGAGTAGATTTATTTTCTATAGGTTGTTTTTGACAGATCAGGCGTGTGTCGTATCATGTTGTC